ATGGTAACAGTAGTGACATCTTGCGTGTACCAGTTCTCGTATCACCGATACAATGACAATGTCTGGCAATTACAGACTCCTTATTTATTACATTATTTACGTTTGTTACATGTTTCTTTTTCACCGCAAACTGTGTTATTCTTGTAACTCTTTTCGAAAATGTTAATACCACTAAATGTTCTACGAATTACTTTTGTCACAAAATAATAAATAACAGAAATTCAAATTACGAAGCATGAAGAATAACGCGAACTTTACGACATTTAAAATATTATAACACATAATTTACAAATGCATATCCACATACAACTTTACGATAATACATTATATGGTGTGCTGTGATATAACCATGATTTATATTGAATCTATATGGAAGATGCTAAGATTGTGTTAAATGATTCTCTGCCTGTCTCAGGGCATGTTTGCTGCTGAAACTACATATCCATTAGCAGTTTCTTTAATTTAATGCCTGACCTGAGTTTTTTAGTGAAAACGTGCAAGTGGATGTAGTTCCACAGACTAAAGACAATGGTTTCTTAAAACTACGAAGTACTTTCACTAGGACAATTTCATGAACATCTTACGACGTGCTAAGACAACACCAACACGGTCTACCTACCACACAGCCAATTTTATTCAAATACTAATTTTACAGTTGCACTATACGTAAATAAATTTCTACTTGGGAGATTATTGTTACATTCATGTCAACGGATATTTGATAGTACAGACCTCACAAGAGAATAATCGCGTAACGTTCTTCAAATCCCAGAGGCATACACAAAACATCTGGTAAGTGGTTCCTGAGTTTTCGGGTAGTCTGTACTTTAACGTCCTACTTTTTGTTACGTGGTTATGAAGACGGTATTTGATATAAAAGTCGTGAGAAGCGTGACCAAGCAGCAATGACAAATAAGAAAAGTGAAGATACTCCGTAAACAAATCGAAACACTGCGTCCCAAGAAAGCTGCGGCACTTAGAGGCGGCGTGTTTAAAGGTGGCATTTGAACAAATCTACACTTCGCACTCTCCAAACGCTTTCACCTTCATAAAGAATAAATTAATGGCCACGCTCGTTTCAAATTTGTTGTTCTAAGGCTCCACGCAAAAACGTGCAACAAAAGGGAGACAGAAACCATGCCGCCATGTTTCACCAGGCGGTTCTTCAAGACGTCCGTCGCACAAAAGCCCTCAATCTCTTTGTACCCCGTCAACACATATTCGTAATATGAGACGCAACTCTGCCAAAACGTCTTTTCATAACAGAACAGTTACTGACAGACCCTTAATGCTGCACTGTACGTTTCTTCAGCGAACTGTCTTTGTGATTTATTTTAAAAGTAAAGTGAGCCTACAGGTGTGCTCAATAGTAGCGTCTCCGGAGGACGAAAATACATGAGATTACTTTTCTTTATGCAGACTCAGCGTTAAAACATGGATTATGCTAAGAAATAATGTGTAATTAAATTGCTTAATTATTATATCAGACGCCTTGATTTTTTACTTATGCTCATAGTTTAATCACATTGATATTTTACACGCATCCTTAATAAATTATATAAACAACCGACACAGCGCACTGCGGAAAATAAAAAACCAAATATTCTCATGGTATATTATTTAGGCCGAGTAGTGCCAAGGTTTGTAACTACCAAACAGTTTGCTTAAAGTTTGTCTTAACAAAGCCATGGACAGAGATCGCTTTATGCAAAATCAAGCACGAATTATATAAACGTAACCCAACTACCAATTCGTTCCAGCAAATTACATGGTTTATTGCACATCAATTTCATGCTGCCACAAAACAACGGTGCACTTGATAATTGGGCGCGTCATTCATTATTTCTGACACGCGTCGCATCTCTGCATATGCAGGAAATGAACTAAACTACGGATAACGGAATCCAAGATATACTCTAAATTTTCGGAGAAACATATTGCCTCCATCTTCAGAGCTGAAATGGGGACAGTATTTTCCCAAACATACCTATCTACCTACAAGTCCACAACAGACCTACCGTCGCGGTCAGGTATTCAGTGTTTATGCTTCGTATACTGGAGACTCCGAGTTAGGCCACAGCCCGGAAACTCGCCATCCTGACTTACAGATTACACGATTTCCCTCAGATTCTCTAAGGAAACCAGACCACGACCGCTTCCTTCCACGTTCTTACCGTTCATTATTGATTACTTAACCTGTCATTTGACGAAAACTGAAAGCGTCGTTATATAAACGAGGAAAAAAGTATTAAAAATTCTTTCCTCTTAAACCTTGTCTTGTCTTAGAAGTGAACAACGTTAACTACTGCGAGTTATCAGGTTCTCAGGGCGGCGAGTACGAAGATGGCTGTCTTCTGGATGTTGCGCCATGTAGTATGGTAAAAGTTCACAGACGTTTCAGAGGTGCATGAGAGCCCTGATGGTGGAATCTCAATAACCCAGAAGACAACCATCGTCATAACGTAAGCATCGCTTTATACTGGTAATAAAAACAGCGATCACAACTTGAGAAAAATTACTGTCGACGACTAACTTTCATGAGCTGTAACTGAATGCATTGCCAGTTATTATGTTTGATTTAGGTTTGTAGTATAACGCCTTCAAACCAGTGTGTCTCGATTAAATAAAAAATCTTAATATGACGTCAGCTGATTGCGGATCAAGTACCTGAACTTACTTTTTTTAATTTGTCTTCTTCTCCTTCTACTACACAGAGGCCTTTCGTTCAAGTTCTTAAGCCCAGTCTGCATATTCAATCAGGTAATTTATCCATGCACAACAGAAAGAGTGACGTCAAGTCGTATTAAATTTGTCTAGAGCCTCGGGCGGTTTCTTCACGACTATTCACCATCGCTATGGCTACGGAACATTGAATGAAAATACTCCATTGAAAAAAGGTTAGTGAGAAAAAATGAATGGAGCCGGTTTGGAGAAACCTCGCAGTGGATCCTGAGGAATTCCAAAGCGGTCAAAACAAAATAAAAATCATTCAGATGAACCGTCATTTGCATATTTCAATTTTCGAGAGTTCTTAAACATTACAATTATCATCCTTCTGCTCCAGAGCCACTAGAGTAGGTGAAACGCACTGTTTGATCCCGGGTACTACACATTCGTGTCTCAAGCGGGGTTCGAACCAGCGATTCCGATTTGTAAGGAGCCCTAGGACCAAAGCACATCCAAGTGAGTGGTCACCGTGTTGTCGATCTTTTGTATAGCATCATTTAAATGCATGTGCAAACGGAAAACAGGCCTATACATGTCCATTTGGGTTAAATACATTGCAAAGCTTTTGTCGTCAGTACGGAACAGGAAATTACAAATGTTTCAAACGGCATCAACTTTCTGTGAGAAACTGAAACTCTCATCCTGTCTTTACTTAGAAAGTCCTTCTGCCAACAATGTCAGTGCAACACAAACTCCTTCATAAAACCAAACTTATGTTAGAATATCAAGTGCCAAGTAAAAGTGCAACAACGAACAAGACTCAGAAGATAGAACCTCGAGCAAATAAAATTTAAAGTGTCTCCTGAGGTAAATCCATGTTCGTATAGAAATAATCCACCACACGTGATGTTCATCTTCCTTTTTTTAACATGCAAACATGTACACCGATACACAAACCCTTTACGCAGTCCAGACAACGTAACGAGGTGAAACCCTCACACTATTTAGGATCTGCGGTTCTCACGTCGGTGAGTACGAAGATGGCTGTCTTCTGGGCTGTTGTGCCGTGCTGTGTGGTAGAAATTTACCAACGTTTCACAGATCCTTGCTGCTTCCACATCTGGGCGATGGTTCATCGCTACAGCCCAAAAGACAGCTATCTTCCCCTTATAGTACAAATCAATGTTACCGTTCTGCTCTTCAATTTTCACAATAAACTTAACTGATCATTGGATTTCAGGATGTCCACGGTTTGTTTTACTTGATGTCCAGAAGAAAAATGTAAGTGCATGCAATGGGATATAATGCGTACGGATTCAGAAGCAGACTGTCCCCAAAACGCCAGGCTTTTGCTCCGAATTAACACGGCTAATCACCGAAAACACTTTAACATCTTTCTTCCGTTTCTATGACGGAGTTCAGTTCAACAGCTGTGAGGTTGTAACGTTCTGCTGTGCAGTCATGATTGCAATGATCTTGGGAACAGTTATGTATATACTTGACTTGCTGAGGGCCAATGGAGATTCCACCTTGGACAAAGTACTTGAGAACTCGTTACTATGGATACAGCAATGATTTCCTGGTCTTATGTACTGACAGACAAACATGAGATTTCACAACGCGAAAACCAAGTGACACTTGGTCTTCCGCGATAAGCCTCACTCGCTGCCAGCGTAAAAGAGCATACAGTGTACAAGGCTGAAAGTTAACGCATGTTGTAAGTTACTCAACTGTAAATACGCACTTGCGCGATGACCAACAAAGTTTCTGAAGTACAGTTTCAATGTGTCAAGCTCCAACGAGCGCATGTTAAAGTGGGCATGACAAATATAAATATACGTGTAAATTTGTACATTAAATTAATTTTATGCGTTAGAAAATTCCAGACCTAAACTTCATGCGGTTTGCATTTCTCTCCAAAACTCAGCACATATTTTATCTTTTTACAGCGGATGTCCTTTTAATGAGGGATCGAGTATATCGGTCCTCGAATAAATTAGACAGTACATTAGCGGACATTAAGTAATAATAATAATAATTATAATCAGCATCAGCAGCAACAAAGACCTTGACACAGCTGTGTAGACCTTCTGCAAACAGCTTCACTGTCAAAATATGCTTCCTTCTGAAGGAAACTAGGAAACCAAGAATTAAATATGACGAAATTAAATAGTACATGTTTACAAAAGGAGTAGTCTCTAACCTTAGAACATACCACTCCATATATATAAAAGTAGAAAGTTAATTTCATGTAATTGAAATGTTAGGTTGCTTTCAAATTAATTAGGTCTACCAATGCATTTTGAGAAATATATTTGTAGATCGTACATTACCTTACACAAGATTGTAAAACCATACTGTGGCCACACATCTTCAAAACATCTCTTCAACTCTCTGATGTTATCCATATTAAAGTAAGGACGAATTATAGACACGAAGGTCAGACACACCACGACAGCATTTCTTGGGCCACATTTTATTTAAAACAAAACCCATATAAGATACTTAAAATCCTGTGTCATCATAAACTTCAAGATCGCACTTTACAATAAGCAATGGAAAAGGAAATTCCATAAAAACACACGAAAAACTCCAGTCACTCTTCCACTGCATTAGTTTGTGTACACTAGAAAATGTGGATCAGTTCTAATTATCAACTCACGAGCAGATGACGAACAGTGAATGAGAATTAGCAACTTGAATTCCGGGTTCCAACGAAAACAAAAAGGTAAACACACTTGATTCGAAACTCACGAACTGGAGACCACTCTCGAGCGAAAAATCAGGTTGATCGGACCACGGCGAGCTTGTGACTGACCAAAGCGGACGAGGAGAAAACACAAGCCGGTCCGCAGATTTCTTCAAAGGAAGGCACAGCGTATCTCGTCTGGCTATTCTCCTTCTTTCCTTTCATCAATGAGGTGGACCTCCTCTGTCAAGTATGACCTACAGAAGAGAAGAACTACACACAATTTCAACCACGCCCGAATATAACCTACAAGTCGAGAGACGGTTTCCATGACGATCCAGACACAGAACAATGACGATGTAAATGAATGAAAATAGCATTCGAAACAACATACCTGATATGCAGGAGAGAAACACGAAGCACAACAGCGAAACAATTTCGCCTGCTAAAAGACGTGGTAAAGGAATGGCTCAATCTGGTACGCAAACAAGTGATTATAGGCAGCCAGAACGAGTTTTGTTAGGAAACTATGTTAAGATGCGATGGTAAATGCACGTTTTGCCGTCCATAAATGAAGAATAATTAGAAATCTAAACGGATTTGCTGGTTCTTGGTATTAGAGTTGACAATTCATGTACGTTGAAGATGAAGCATTTTATCGATATGAAATGGTTATTTGAACACCATATACCAGAGCAGCTGACGGATATTTAATTCGGGTACGTTTTTCGGCAATGTTTTATGCGTTTCATATATAACAGACACAGTGTTTGATATTATTAATTAAAATGATACTCCCTCTATCACACACTTGTACAGTTACTTACCAGAATAATAAATCAAAAACAAATCAATCCCTAACGCCGAAGTGGAATTAAAGACAAAATAATCTCTCCATGAAAGTGTAGAAACAGTCCACATCTTCGTGCCCCACCTTACGACTTGCTGTGAACATTCATCTTCACAAGCATCACAAAAGAACTGTGAAACGAAGGAGACACATTCTGTCCGACCGCCTTATAAATACCACCCTCAATGACACTGTTCACGATGTACCCTAGTCATGAAAGAGCACACACACACAACAGTGTCTCCGTGCTGAGAACACTGCTGCGTCCATTGTTTTAGCCTTTCACAAAGTCACGTGGTTATGTTATTTTTGTGCAAGCGCAACCCTTTTGTGGGCAAAGAGCACAGAGGTCACGTGTAAGGTTCAACCTCAAGCTAAGCTGAAGCACGCAGTCCTACATTCATTTCTTTACAAAACGTTTCAGAGCCGTCATTTCCGCTGCGAGAACGAATGTTAAAACTTCCGTGGATTATAAATCAAAAGACAAAAGGTCATTACACATTTTGAGGTTAATATCTACGTATCTGATATGTAGGAGTTCAAGAAAAATGAACAGTTTGTTCCTCAGCGGTGTTTATCAACCTGCGTTACACGAACCACTGCTGGGCCACAGCTTCTAGTAGGCGTTAATCAACATAATTTATTCCTCCCTCTTTACGTGGTAGTTGCTAGCAGAATACAAGTCTACTGCATAACGCATAGACCGAATTATGTCCACAGCTGTCCAATCGCTACTAAATACAGATAAGCATAAAATTAACACGTTAGAATATTCATCATTGGGGGAAAATAAAAGTATTCAGAGTGTCGGTTCAGCCCTGAAAAAAGGCAATTTTTTATACGCAAGTCTGTACACACTTTATATATATGAATGTCAAGGCTATGATACAATGATCATATATTAGAAACAACAATACATTATTATTGTAATTATCATCTTTATAAAGAAAAAAGCTGAGATAATTAACAAAAGGCAATGTTCTGCAGCATAAGTCGAAACACTAATCTACAGACTAAAACAAAGAATCCATACAACGGCATACGAGATGATGTGGTACAGAAAACTTTCTTCCGGAATTAACAAAGATCTTCCAGCTTACAAAGAGCCGTGTAATTAAAATGGGGAGATGTGGCACATTCGTTATGGCAGTAAAACTGTATTTCATAGTAGATAGTCAAAATTGCATTCTGTAGGCTATATATCTCACAAGAATTATACACTCAGTTAAATGTGTGCAATTATCACATTTCTCAAGTTTTATGAATCTTCTATCCGATCTGCAGAAATCATAAAAAGAAAGCGAAACTAGATTCACTATAACCCGAAAGGGTCAACATCCCGAAACAAATTTCTTCACGATATAGAACTATAGCCAGCTCATTTGAGCAAAGCATCATACCAATTACTGATCTATAGGCTACATGTAGTTTTCTATATCAGCGAACTATTTCATAAATCCACTTGATTTAAGTGTGTTACAACGAACTAAACAGTCCACATACGTGATTGGTGGGTGGACACCAATGAAGCCGACAGGAGAAGGTGTGTGAGGAAACGGGGGGAGGGGGTGAGAGTGATCTGAATCCATTGAAGCGTAACGAATCACGATTAATGTAGAATCACATGCATACGCACGCAGCACTAACCACTGCGACACCGACAGCCTACTAAAACAACAAGAGCATTTTTGTATTTTTATATACAATGTGTTCATGTTGTTCTAGGTTGTTACGCCGTGTGGACTCGCAGGCAAATATACTGTTTCCATCTTCAGGGTTTCAGCTTCAAGGCTTCATACCTGAAGATGGTAACATTATGTTTCTTCTAAACGTTGGTTACCTACCTGTATGTCTACACGGCGTCAAAACCCATAAGAATATCGCCATCTTCACCGTCGTGAGAACCTCAAATGTCATACAGGCCTATAATGCGTAATTTGTTTATTTTTGGAATGACAGCAAGACAAAAATTTTAAATTCAATAATAGTAACTACGTTTAACCTAAGTTTCGCCTACGGAATACACATAGGAGCATTAACCCAGTGCATTCTTCTCTGTTTTACATACTTCATTGTCTTTAATATTATTAACTTAGTTATAAATACACTGCATCAAAGCTGATGATATTTCAAATAAGTGTTGCATATCTTATTTATACGAGCCAAATTTTGTATAATAAGCTTTATGCACTTCGTGTAAAACACACAATTTGCCCACAATATAACATGTCTCATCCGTTTCAGTTATTTATTTTTGTACGACGCATTGTTCATTCACCATCCCCCAGAGCTATTAATCTCCGAACAGCTTATCTGCTCCACGTTGTTCTGCTTCTTTCTTCCCTGGGACAATGTTTTACATACCCCTTTCCCCATTTCTCTTTGACGCTAATGATATTTCAGTACAGCTTTCACCATATGGTGGTTTATATCTGCATATCTATAAGCGAAACAACGCCCTTTCATATTCGTCCGAAACCATCTCCAGGTCACAAAACCGTACAACGTAAAAATATCTCCCTTTCTCCCTATTTGTACACGTCTCTTATACTGCCTATCATATTATCTTTTTAGTATCAAAATATAGCTGACACCTACCTCACTGTGAAACTGAGTGATGATGGTAACATGAAAGTGTTCATTATATACACCACAAAACTATTTCTTCTAACAGGTCCCTATGTACAATACTTCGGGGTTCTCTCCTCTTCGTTGGCATAATTCACAATCAACGGAATTCGTATTTCGAGACGAAAATTGGTAATGAAACCACACACGTATTACTACAGCTCATTTCCTTACAAAAGTCATATAGTACGCATATCCACTGGCTACATTTCGTTTAGGGAGTTGATACTACTTCTGTTTTCAGGCGATTGGTTGTCGTTGTTGGAAAGATTTATGGACATTATTTTTGTTTTACGATGCTGGCGGCTAGTAGAAACACAAGACATCTTAAAACTAGCATAGTAGGCTACTGCAACCACTTGACTACGCCAAATACCTGAATATGAGAACAAAGCCAACTGTCGAAACGTCGTGTATATACAATACTATATAACTCTATAACTCAGGCAACAGACAACGTCCAATCCAAAGTCCACAACGCAGACAACATACAACTGGTATAGCCTATGTGAAACAAGTACAGTCAGGCCCTTCCCAGAACCGAATTCCTATACTCTTAAAACATCTGACATAATACATGGACATGCTTGATGCAAGCACCTCTAAAACGTCGGTAAACATCTAACAGACTACACGGCAGTCACCATTAAATAGAGATTCACCGCCTTCCTAGCCTATTTCATTCGTGCGTTTGAAGACGCTCGCTTTTGTGAGCAGACTTTCGCAGATCAAAGGAACTGTTACCTGGTACAGTTTAATTGTTAAGATATGTTATATCAAGGAGGTCAAGCGATATTTCTTGTTACTGCACTTAATCCTAACCAGGATATTAAAACAAAAAGAGCCCTGATGATGGAAGCAGCAAGGACATCTGAAACGTCTACCACGGCGCAATAACCCAGAAGACAGCCATCTTCATCGACACTGGTTCCTAATTTATTTGCAAATACCCAGCCACAGTTGTCATCCCTGTCAGCCTACTCAATTGCATTAGGACAGCTGCCCTCTAGTTTGGGGATCTACTGACTTCAATCGGGAAGACACCGTGATGAGACGCGAAACATTTTCTGCCTCTCTCCAATCTGTACCCCCTGCCAGTGTTCGGCCCAGCTTCTTGAACCACCTGGTGAGGCAGACATGAACAATAGATGTCCATATACGAATCTAAAACCTCAGACCTACTTGCTGACTTAATTATCACAGGCCCAAACCTTCAAAAGAGAACGATATAAAATTAAAAAATGCTGATACAATAACTTACATAAACTGTTTCCCAGTATTTCACTCCGCTGGGCACCAAGTTACACGTTCGTGCTCGAAAATTCAGTCACAGAGAAGGCAGATCTTATCTCTCAGCATCTGACTGTAACAGTCTTCAGCTGGTCAAGAAATAACCAGCATTTATGAAATCACAAGTTTCATTATTGTGTTTGCAAAAGGCCATCACTGGTACCTATCCTGAACCACCTTATTCCATTAGGACACGCTCAAATATTGTCTTCCCATCTACACCTAGGTCTTCCTACCGAAAGCGGTGTCACGTGACGTGATGGTTACCGTCAACTACTCAAGTGCTAAACGATGCCCTACAACAAAACCGTAATAATGCCTTCCACCACCACTGGCCTCCAAACTAACGTCATTATATATCAATATAATATTATACCTTGCAGGTCGGGGCTGAATCTTTCATCTGTAAGATTTCTGATCTGATCACGATCCAATTTTAAAATTACAA